TTTTTTTTTTTTTTTTTTTTTTTTAAAAAAAAAAAAAAAAAAAAAAAAAGGGGGGGGGGGAATAGCAAGGTTTTTGGTGGTTTTTCAGCCTGTCAGCCTCTCTTCTCCCTCTCTCCTGTGATCCAGCAGTCTAGCAGTAGTGAACTTATTACTATTTTCTGAACCTCACCCCACCTCCCCCACACTTACACAATTTTTATTTATTCTCCTAAAACTAAGTTCAGAGGTTATTTTGTCTTGAGGCCTTCCCTGACTCCCAAAGTAGCAGTAGCTACTTGTCTTGCCTTTTGCTCTCAAAGCATTTCATTCGAATGGTGGTAATAGCATTTGTTTCTTAGACTTTGAAAGAAACTGCCCAACTCAGTCTCTTCTACTGTGAGGTCTTAATAAAGGAAGGATGAGTGAAGGAAGGAACCCTGTTGTCTTGGGAGTTTTGAAGGAACTAGTGGGATTTTTATCTAGAAGAGGGTAGGACCTTGAAGGGATACATGAAAACTGTTCATAAGGATGTGAAGAGTGATGAGATTTTTCTTGTTGGCTACAGTTGCTAAATATAAAACTAATAATTTGAATTTACACGAGACACTTTTCAGCGTAGAGGAAAGTGATTCGGATACAACTGTGAGGACATGGTAAGATTGTCCTGAACAATTGAGAGTTCCTTGTCACTGTGTTCAAGGGAAGGCTGGGTTGGACCATCTAGAAAGTATGTCAAGCTGTGGTTTAAGTTACATGGGTTTGGATTGCTGTCCCCTGTCCACCCTGTATTTCAGAGATTCTTTGTGCTGGAATGGAAAACATGTCCTGTAGGTAGTGGGCCTGGTTAATAAGAATTGGTAGTACGGTGGCAGGGAAGTTTGGCCATCTGAGAATTCTTAAAGAAAAAAAAAGAGAAATCACATATTTATCAAATGTAAATAAGATAATAAAATAACGTACTTAATAAAAATGAAATAACTGATGCACAGGTGAAATGGAAAAACGTAAACATTTGAGGACAGGTACAGCTTCTCAACGTGTGGGTGTTGATGTCATGTAGGGTTCAGCATGGCTGGGGCTAGAATAACTAGAAAGATCATGGTTATATGTATTGAGAAGATACTACAGTGTTCCTTTTAGAATTTTGGTACTTTTTTAAGTGTTACTTAATGCGTGTAATGCCATAGGTGTTGGCTGCCTAAGAATATATCCCTGCTTTGTAAGTCTGTATAAAAAAGTTGAAGCTAATGGTTTAAAAAGTTGAAGATAATGCTTTGGATTATGTAGAGTGCAGATTTGCATTCTCTCTCCAGGCTCAGTGAGGTGGTAGAGGTAGTACTTTGGAGAAGAAATGGTAAGGGATTGATTTATTGAGGGAACATGCCAGGCACTGTACCAACTCTTTGGGTATATTTGTGTATAAGATAGTCAGGGTTTAGCCTTATGAATCTTATATTCCAGTGTGGGAGACTGTAAGCAAGACAAATAAATAAGGTAATTTCAGGCAAGAAGGGCTATGAAGAAAAGTAAGGCTGGGTGGGGGATAGAGAGTGGTGGGGTTAGGGTGTAGGTGGATAGCTGTTTTAGATAGGGTGTTCAGAGTAGGTGACCTTTAAGTGGAGACCTGAAAGAAGCAAGGGAGGAGATCCTGCAATGGCCTGTGGAGGAATAGGTTTTCTACACAAAAGGAATGATTAAGTGTAAAGACTTTGAGGTGGGAATGAGGTTGACTTTGAGGAGTAGCCAGAAGGCGATCATGCTAGAACAAAGTACATAAAAGGTCAGTTATGAAAACCATTGTGTTAAGGTATAGGAAGAGGGAGGCAGTTACACAGTGGCCAGATAAAAAGGGTAAAATAGACCCCAGATAGAGGTTAAAATGGGCTCTATGAACCTCTGCCTACTTTCCAGGGGCAGGGATGGGAGGTATTTTGAGTATTTTTGGTATTTCTAGGGGTCCTGACTTTCAAATCCTCTTAAGTATTCCATGTGTCAGTAGATGTAAGAAATCTTAAAAGAGGCCTGGACTGATCCTTTCAAACTCCTGGAATTATAGGAGACTTTTGAAGACAGGACCTGGAGTAGGGAGATTGTGAGAACAGGAGAAAGCATGTGGGTCCTAGTCCTGGCTCAGCCCATGACTTAACATATCCATACTGGATTTACTCTCTAGCTCAAGTTCCCTTTTACAAACAGGAGGA